CGATTCAAAATTACAGATAAATACCTTATCAGAAGTATCTAAAGATGATTGATTTAGAATAGCCTCGGGAACAAGAGTACCCAGAACTAACGGCATAGAAGCTTCTTTTTCTGGAGGATTATTATTCGAAGTCTGAAGGGGCATTGTAGAATTAAATACTATACCTTCTTCGTTAGGGAAGAGTTCCACCAACTAAATGAAGCCAAATCCCTTTCATGGGTTCCTTCATCATTGGAGGGTTCTGATTGAGTATCCTCTGGATCATCCGACTCTGAATCGGAAGAAAGTTCTATAGATGAATCATCACTTTCCTCATCTCGATTTGGTTTTTTTTTAAGGTCACGAGATATATCATGCATTTGAGCTACTGCCTCACGAGCCTTGAAAAGATAGTGAAAAGTAATGACTCACCTCGATACTGTATTTGGCTCGAATATGTTGCATCTTTGAGAATTTGCTACCTGTTTTATGGCGTAGAGTTGCTCTTTCTAGTGCCCTAGCCCTTTCTGCTTCAAGGAGTCGCCTTTTAAAGGCATTAGGATTGTTTTGGCGAAGTAATTCTGTTTCCTTCTTAAATTCTTTAACGATTCGCTTCTTTAGGTGGCGGTGATAAGACTTGCTTTTAATTCTGTTTTGCCTTCTAGACCTCCTCGCAATGTATATCTCCCGCATTTTTTGCCTTGCCTGGTCCTCTAAACGCTTGGTTATTTCAAGCCCGATTTTTAAGTGCTCCTCCTCGCGTTTGTGGAGTTCGTCTGAACTAGGGCATCATAAATTGTATCATTAAACTCACATACTGTCATCTCCCTTGTATAATTTTGAGTATATTTGTCCTACTACACCTGTTGATGCCTTGGCAGCTCTTGAAAATGACTTGTCCTTAAGTTCCTTTGCTTCAGATGAGTTGACAACAGTAATAGATGTATCATTCAGAGGAAAAATTAAATGTTCTGCTAATCTATTTCTATGAACTGGGCCCTTCCAAAGTTGCATATAGCTTCTATTAGCTGAATAGGATTTACGCCTTTTATCTTTGGCATCTTGAACGGGGTCCTTCGCCTCAAGTGCCCTTACGGATTTATGAAGATTTTGTAAGTTTTTGTGCAAATGAGACTTATGGCCCTTCTTAATTTTAAGTAACTTCCAAACGGATGCATCTTCGACATAAGGGGCGTCAGTCTGGAGAATAAAGGCAGAAAAGACGACTCACCATCACGCCAGGAGGGACCAGTTTCAAACTCTGCGCAACAAATTAACCCAACAATGATTAGTCTTAAATCCGTAATTTATCATAGTTAT